TTCCCTGAGGGGTTCCTGGTGGTTCCTGAGGGGGTTTGGTGGTCCCTGGGGGTTCCTGGTGGTTCCTGAGGGGGTTTTAGTGGTCCCTGAGGGGGTTTTGGTGGTCCCTGAGGGGGTTTTTGGTGGTCCCTGAGGGGTTTTGTTGGTTCCTGAGGGGGCTTTGGTGGTTCCTGAGGGGGTTTTGGTGGTCCCTAAGGGGGTTTTTGGTGGTCCCTGCAGGTTCCTGGTGGTTCCTGAGAGTTCCTGGTGGTCCCTGAGGGGTTTTGGTGGTGCCTAAGGGGATTTTAGTGGTCCCTGAGGGGGTTTTTGGTGGTCCCTGAGGGATTTTAGTGGTTCCTAAGGGGGTTTTGGTGGTCCCTGAGGGGGTTTTGGTGGTTCCTGAGGGGGTTTGGTGGTCCCTGAGGGGGTTTGGTGGTCCCTGAGGGGGTTTTTGGTGGGTTTCTCTCTCTCCCAGGGGTGGGAAGGTGACTTTCCAGCTGCCCCTGGCTCCGGGCTCGGAGGAGCGAATCAGCCACTTCTCCTGGAGGAGCAGCGCCCTGAAGGAGACCCTGAGGAAGCTCCAAGGTATTCGGGGAGGGGGGAAAATCAAAGTGAACCCCGTTTTGGGAGAGCTGAGCTGCCCGTCCCCCCATCCTGGGTGTTAACCGGGAGCAGAAACGGGGCAAGGAGAATCCCGGGATGGAGGAGGGGGAGGGAACAAAGGAAAAGGACAAATTAACGCCCAATTAGCGCCTCCTTCATCACTGTCTGAACTCCAAGCCTTTGGCCCCGGTTTGTTGGGGTAGATGCTTTTTGTTCTGGGATTTCGCTGGTTTTGGGTGGTTTCCATCCCGCCAATCCTACATTTTGGGGTGTAGATGTTTCATTTTGGGGTTTCTGTGGTTTGGGGTGGCTTCCATCATGCCAATGCTTCATTTTGGGGTGCAGATGTTTCATTTTGGGGTTTCCCTGTTTTTGGGTGGTTTCCACGTTGCCAACTCTTCATTTTGGGATTTCCCTGTTTTTGGGGTGGTTTCCACCGTGCCAATGCTTGGATTTCCCTGTTTTTGGGTGGTTTCCACGTTGCCAACTCTTCATTTTGGGGTTTCCCTGTTTTTGGGGGGTTTCCACGTTGCCAACTCTTCATTTTGGGGTTTCCCTGTTTTTGGGTGGTTTCCACGTTGCCAACGCTTGGATTTCCCTGGTTTTGGGTGGTTTCCATCCCGCCAATCCTACATTTTGGGGTGCAGATGTTTCATTTTGGGATTTCCCTGTTTTTAGGTGGTTTCCATCCTGCCAATCCTACATTTCGGGGTGCAGATGTTTCATTTTGGGGTTTCCCTGGTTTTGGGTGGTTTCCATGTTGCCAATCCCACATTTTGGGGTGCAGATGTTTCATTTTGGGGTTTCCCTGTTTTTGGGTGGTTTCCACGTCGCCAACACTTCCTTTTGGGGCCGTTCCCCCCCCAAAGGGGGTCCTGCATCCCCTGATGGTCCCCCCCTCCCCCGCCCTTCCCCCCCAGCCTCGGTGACCCTGGACGAGGCCACGGCCCACCCCGAGCTGGAGCTGTCGGCCGACGGCAAGAGCGTCCGGCGCGGCGCCCGAGCCCTGCCGGTGCCCGACGGCCCCGAGCGCTTCGACTACTGGCCCTTCGTGCTGGGCCGGCCCGGCTTCGCGGGCGGGCGCCACTGCTGGGCCGTGGACGTGGGGGACGGCGGGGACTGGGCCGTGGGGGTGGCGCGGGACTCCATCGCCAGGAAGGGCCGGCTGAGCCTGGGCCCGCAGGGCGGGATCTGGGCCGTGGAGCGCTGGGGAGGGCAGGTGCGGGCGCTGACCCCGCGCCGGGCCACGCCGGTGCCGCTGCGCTGGCCGCCCCGCAGGGTCAGCGTGCACCTGGACTGCGCCGGCGGCACCGTGGCCTTCTTCGACGCCGAGGCCGGGGGGCTCCTCTTCCTCTTCTCCCGCGCCGCCTTCGGAGGGGAGCGGCTCCGGCCGTGGCTCTGGGTGGTGGGGGCTGGATCCCAGCTGAGACTGTGCCCCTGAGGGAGGGGGGGGGACACGGGGGGGCATGGCAGGGACCCCAACCCTGGGGGATGCTCAGCCCCACCCCAGGGAGAGGGAGGAACAGGGAATTTGGGGGGGGATGGCAGGGACCCCCTTGCCAGGGGACACTCAGCCCCCCCCCCCAGGGAGAGGGAGGAACAGGGAATTTGGGGGGGGACGCTCAGCCCCCCCCAGGGAGAGGGAGGAACAGGGAATTTGGGGGGGGATGGCAGGGACCCCCCCAGGGAGAGGGAGGAACAGGGAATTTGGGGGGGGATGGCAGGGACCCCCTTCCCAGGGGGGGATGGCAGGGACCCCCTTGCCAGGGGGAATGGCAGGGACCCCCTTCCTGGGGGACGCTCAGCCCCCCTCCCCAGGGAGAGGGAGGAACAGGGAATTTGGGGGGGGATGCTCAGCCCCCTCCCCAGGGAGAGGGAGGGACAGGGAATTTGGGGGGGGATGGCAGGGACCCCCCCAGGGAGAGGGAGGAACAGGGAATTTTCCCCCCCAGCCATCCCGACCTGAAACCCCCCCGATTCGTGTCATTAGTAATAAAAATAAGGACAGGATTTTCTGCTCTGTGTCTCTCCTGGGGGTGCCCCGTGGCCCCCAGGGGCGTCCCTCGCTCACCCTCTCAGGGTTTCCGGATCCTTTTTGGGCCCAAAACCGCCCCGAGCGGGGTTTGGTTCCCCGAAATTCCCGCCCTGCCCCTCCAACCCGACACCCACGGGCAAAGAGAGAAAGATCTCCCAGCCTGGAAACCTTTTTTACTCGGTGTGGCACAGGAGGGAGAAGGGGCTGAGCGGGATGTGGCGGCACAGACGGATTTGGGGGATCCCTTTGGGGGGCCGGGGAGCCCCCCCAGGAGGATTCGACACCCCCAGAGTGCTGGGAACGGGGCAGGACCCTCCCTCCTGGGGCAGGGGGGGACCCTCAGGGGCACAGGGCGAGCCGGGCACCCTCCCCCCAGAGCAGGAAGCAGGGCCGGACCCCCCCGGCCCCCAAGGAGGCGGCGGGGAAGGCGAAGAGGAGGGTCCTGCTGGCGGCGTCGAAGAAGGCCACGCGGCCGGCGTGGGGGTCCAGGGACACGCGGACCCTGCGGGGAACCCGCCCCCGCCCCAGGGGCACCCGCTCCGGGCCCGCCAGCGCCCACAGCTGCCCCTGGCACAGCCCCAGCGCCCACAGCTGCCCCTGGCACAGCCCCAGCGCCCACTGGGCCCCCCTGGAACGTGGGGGGCTCTGCCCTAGGGGGTCCCCCCTCCCCACCCCGTCCCCAGCCACCCCCAGCGCCCAGGAGCCCTCGGGGGACACCTCCACGTCCCAGCAGCAGCGCCCGGAGGAGATGCCAGGCAGGCCCAGCACCGACGGGGCCGGGGGGTCTGGGGGGTCTGAGGGGTCTGAGGGGTCCCGGGGGTCTGAGGGGTCCGAGGGGCCGTGCCCAAGCCCCTCCTCGGGGGGCTCCCACCTCACGCTGCTGCCATCGGGGGCCACAACCAGCTGGGGATGGGCCGTGAGGGGGTCCAGGGTCACCAGCACTGCCAGGGGGGAAGGGAGGGGATGGGCTGGGAGGGG